ATTCAATAGATAAAATATTATTTTTTGTTATTATTTATCTTCTCTAATTTTACTTCTAATTTTTGGTAGAAACAAACCCACAAGAAACCGTAGAACTTCTATCAACAATACACAAATGTCATACTCTTCGAGAATTAATATTTAGAATTTATCCATATTTGGGTATGATTGATTCAGTTACCCCGGACTTCCTAACCTAGCGCACAATTTTTTCTGCAAGAAATGACGACGTGAATACTATAAATGTCGTTGCATTGAATATTTCACCAGGAAAACAATTACGTATTTAGCAACTGAAATAATAACAGAGGGTGATGAACTTGATTGACCGATCACTAATCGATATCATAATGAGTATTTAAACTCTCTAAAACCTGCTGAGTTACTTTCGTTTAAATTAGATTTGAAGGTGGGTAGTCCAATAATGTTGCTGAGAAATATAGTGCCGAATGATGGGCTTTGTAACGACGCGCGATTGATGGTTGTCAGATGTGTCATGTGTGGTTGAAGCTAAAATTTTAGATGGTGATAAATCTGGTAATTTGATCTTCATTCCAAGAATATCTTTGTCACCAACATCTTTAGAATTGCCTTTTCAGAGGACAAGACGTCAATTTTTTATAAGGTATGCTATGACAATCAATAAATCTCAAGGACAGTTTGTAAAATTCGTTGGAGTTGATTTGCATACACTAGTGTTTAGGTATGAACATCTGTATGTGGCACTAGATGCATATCTTCTGATCGTATATGTGTTCTTCTTCCTGAAAATGGGTCGAATTGCACATCAAACATCGTTTACCCTGAAGTTCTGTTATAGAACTTCCTATTCAATAGCAAACAAATGGTACCATTTATTTACAAATTGCTCCTATCGAATATATATTGAATTAAAATAATCACGTTAACTTTACCTTATAATTCATATTTGTAGGATTGATGTGAATTGACTAAAACGATAAAAAGAATAAATACAATGCAACTTTACCGATGGGGATATCGTAATAAGGTAATTCGATTCTTATACTATTGCAACGAGCTATATTCTTTTATAACTAATATATACCACTAAAATTTGGTTTTCTTTCTTTTTGTAAAACTAGGTTGTTGTGCATTCTCCAAACTTGCAGTTTCACATATGTGTTGACACAAAAACATTCAGGAAAGTGATGAAGAGAAAATTCAAAGACCTACTAGAAAAATGATCTATTAACTATATCTTCGTGAAGATAAATCATATGTTTGATTCTAGAATTTTTAATATAAACTTGATACTTAATTAGTTGCATTGTTGCAATTACTACTATTATGTCTATTGTGGTAGTATTATGATATGATAGTGATTTGAATAATTATTCTATGAATTTCATCTATGGTTTGGTATATTTTGATAATGTCTTGATTTTATTGAAATTTCGCAGTCCTAATCATTATTCCAATTTTTTCTGTTGGTGTGTTGTTATTTTTATTAAATCACATGGGTGAAAAAATATTATTTTGTTTGTTGTAATGTTTATTACTCTGTTGCTAATGTAATTATTGCAATTTTAATTTGTATCTTTTATGTTATATAGAGATATAATAGAACGACCTCCAATCTTTGTACGTCATAGTATGCATGTGACTCTATCAAACAAACAAGAAAAATTTGAAAATGAATTGTTTGAAGATGGAACTTCAATCTCAAAGTTTGGGATGGAAAAATTTGAATTAGGTCGTATGTTACAAACAACAGGAAAAAATATAAGTAAAAATTATATTATGCATAAAATAACATAGATCCTTCCCACAATTTGGAATTCTGCCGTGAAATTTTTTTTCTAGACGACAAACCAACCAATGCAGTACGGTTTGTACAATTATTGGTGGAAGTGGAACGCGATATCTATCTATTATGGATACAATTTGAGTAGGAAAAAATGAGTCAAGGGACATATGTTCTATATTATATAAGAAAAAAAAATTATTTTATAAAGTGCAACAAGAAGGTTTTATGCCCAATAATCTAATTATGTTATATATTGTTGTTAACAAGCTGTCATCTACATGATCAATTGATATAATCAATAAGAAGTTTGAGAATGAATTCATAGATATGAAGAATTAGAGGAAACATAGACAGATATCGAAATTGACATACTCTGTTCACGAGCGTTAGAAGACGTGAAAGCTCAACTGAACTTACAATGAACAAGAGCTACACAAATGAAGCAATATTTTTTATGTAAAAATTACTTCTCTATGTTTTTATTATTTGAATGTGGATAAAGGAAAAAATGTATGTCTTTAGAGAATGAATACACACCTAATTGTAATCCTTTTTTTTTTTTTTTTTTTCAGGTCGAATCTTTTGGAAGTCGGTTAAATTTATGATAGTTATATTTGGTCATTTGACAACATCTGCAAAATTAGTTTATTTGTGGGAATATTGATTTAATTTTCATTCTATTAGTTATAAATTTTGTTATTATTTATATAAATTTGATTATGAATGTTGAAATCGTGGATTTTAAACATTGAATATTGTCAACTGATATATTTTTTTAGTTTGAATTATTATGTGGTGTAACAATGTTGTGAAAACTGATATATTATAACTACTGATATTTTTTCAATAGTTATAACATAATTTTCGTGGCATAACAATTTAATGTGAAATATATGTTATGCATGTAAGTTGATGTTATAAGAAATATTATTGGACTCATTTTTTTCGTTGTTTACTACAATATTGTATTTTACTTTAATTTATGTATGAGTAAATATTTGTAACTAATTTACGAGTAACACTGTGTCTTTAGGCATAAACAATTTATAGTATGTATATATCAAAGGATATATAGAAAAATAACATACATTTCAATACAAAATTAACTTTCTATCAACTTTTCCTCTCAATTTTAGAGGAATTGATTTTAATGAGTTAGAAGGAAAATTAGTTCATCGATTTTTCAATCATTCATATTTTTTTTTCCTTACCAAATATGATGTTATATGTATCTCTCTAACTTTTTATCATCCCAACTTTCTATTATTTTATTTTTTTTATCGTATCACATAGAACATTAGAGTCAAAATTAGCTATGAATAAAGAAGTAGGGCCTTCTTGTGTTTGTGTTTGCCTTGTATAGTAGGAGTTGCATTTTAGTCACGGGTGCTACACAGTGAAAAAACAAGGGCCAGGCCAGGCAGTAATTGACTGATCAGGCCCAAGTCTAGCCAGGCCAAATTGATGACTTAGGCCAACCCGTCTCAGGTCTTAAAGGGTAAGTCATGGCCCACCCATCAGGCCTTTAGAAAGAAAAGATATCGGACCAATATTGAAGGGCTTTAAATAAGCAACAATTTAAATAGTGATAATTGGAGACTTTTAAGTTCTTGTCTTAAATATATTTGTCATTAAATTCTAAATTAGTATTCTTATTTGATAGTTAAGTCTATTCTGAATTTTTTTAATTACTAAAACACCCTTATTGATTGGTTTTAATGCTATAAAGAGTTTCATTGTTGAGCTTAGTCAACTTTTTTTGTGCAAAGAAGTTGTATCAGAATGCTATTACTAGACTGTTTTTGGTTTGGGGATTTTTTCAGCTGGCTAGACCCAAAGATTGTGCCCCATTTTGTCTCCATCTTCTTTGTTGGGACTTATCTGTCAATTTTCGACTTTCTGAAATACATTTCATGTTTTTAAACTTTTCAAAGAAATGAGGAGAAAGAATGGGTCGTTTGTGTTGAGGTTGAACTCTGATATGATCACCACCAAGCCGTGTGGTCTAGTGGTTACTTACTTAGCACTCCATTAAGGGTTTTACTTAAGCCTTGCAAGGTTTAAATCTCAAATTTGATTTACAGAGAGTAGACTGTTGAGTTATTTCTAACGGTTTGATAAGACTGGAGTTTGACCATGATTTAAGTCGATCTTATAGAGAGCCTACAGATTCTTCCGTCTGGGCCCCTCTGGAGGGCATCTCTAGGCAGAATGGATTCTATAATCACGTCTTGGCAAGGAGTCCATTTTTGTCGCTCTCCTATACCCTCTTTTCCAACCAAAAAAAAAAAAAAACTCAGGTCATTACAAATCATAAGACAAATTCTTTAAGAAAAATCCCATAGTAGTTAGGCTTTGAGGGTTTTTTTTCGAGAAGTAACGTTAAGATTTTGGTGGTCAATATTCTTAACTTTCAAGCACCAAGTATTATAAGAGAAAGATTGGGTTGTTTGTGTTGTGGTGCAACTCTGACATGATCACCCCCCGAGCCGTGTGGTCTAGTGGCACTTAGTGCTCCGTTAAGGGATTACTTAAGGCTTGTAAGGGTTATATTCCAAGTTCGATTAACGGAGAATAAATTGCGGAGTTATTTCTAGTGGTTTGGTAGGACTAGAGTTGACTACCCTGACTTTGTTCATGATTTAGTTTCTCATTAGTTTATGGATTTCAAATGGTTATTAGTACAAACAAAAGTCACTTGCGTGACATTAGGCCTGTCATTTTTAAACATGCAAATTCGACACGAAATAAGCAATTTAGGTTGACTCATAGTAAGTTTAAATAGTAAACGGGTAGACTCATTAGACTCAACCAATACAAAACCAACTGAATACGACTTTTATATATATATATATATATATATATATATATATATATATATATCGTATGAATTCAAAACTACGCTAACTCGGTTATATACAAATATAAATGTGTTGGGTATTGACTGAGCAAATTTTGACACGACACAACTTGAACCCAACACAAACCATTGACAACCCTGCATGCGGAATAATAACATTGTGATCACTTGGGGAATCTAAAGAGGGTAACTAATTCCGTTGTTCATAAAATTGGTAAAAAGTTCACCAATCATAACCAAGATAGACACTCATATCTTAGAAAATTAACAGTAACAATCTGTTTAGTGTTTACAGTGTCTTGTTCTCTAGCAGAAAAGAATTGAAACAATGAGGTTAATGAAGATGAGTGTTAAAACAGTCCATACATATCATCAACCGCTTGTATCATTTGGGTCTGGACCATAGAGATGAACCTCTCGACTGTTTTGTGACTGCAATGGCCTTGCATTCCTCGCTGCGTACTGCAATGTAATTGATCATCACCATAAATGTCAGTGCTTGAAAGAGATTAATTAATTATTAGCTGAATAATTCAAACATTTGCGAACAAAAATGCCACATTCTCTGATCTAGACGACTAGTTCTATAGCTTCCTTGATGAAGTGTGTGTTTTAAGAGCAAGCAAACTTAAGAAATAAACAATATTGTACAATACAAGTTTGAGACGTTATGTATAAATTGTATCAGAGCCACAAATAGAGCTCGTGTTGTGGAGGTCAAGAAGTTTGTCCACCATGGTCCGGCAAGGCAATGGCAAGTCATCCTCTTAAATTCCATGTCACCAATGTCTAAATGGTTATCACATGAGAACATGTGACACTATGGGAGGGATTGGGATGACCCATAACTCATTTTTTAAAGTCGTGGGGACTTAGATTGAAGGCGGAAAATCTGAAGCGTTTTAGTACATAAAAAATATATATATAAACAATGGTTTAGCTGCTTACATCGTGAACAGCCTCCCGAAGCAACTTGACTTGATCTCTTGAAACAGTTCTGACCTAAAAGTAGTTCAAGTTTGGGTAAAAGATCAGTCTGAATATTGCATGGGCATGAGATTGAATATGAGGAATGTTGTTAGTATTGAGTTATATTTATTTATACCTTTTTGCCGATGGTCCAAATAACACCTTCAGTACAAGGAGGTACAGTGAGTGAGCCAACGTATCTGTAATACCTCCTATTACCAATCTTGATCTCTCTAGGATCTATCACCCCATAGTGTCTCTCTTCATCCTTTTGGTCCATCATAGACGATACGTTTCTAGCCAACTGAAAATTCAAACATTAACAGCTTAATTGCTACACTTACAAAATAAAGTTGAGAGACAAATATTCCATTTTTAGACAAGTTATTCACTAAGAAATGATGCATTAAGTTGGGTTTATCAAATTTTGAATAAAGTAACGCACAATACGAAACATGCACCACTATTAAAAAAAAAAAACCTTAGATACCGTTTAGAAGTGTTTTATTTTTTTTAAATTCCTTCCTCATGTATGCTCTATTCTTACAAATTTAGTCACATTTTATTATAATAATAATAATATATTATTTTGGGCGAAGGGGAGAGGGATAAGGTTTGAACTGCAAGCAGGGGTGTCCAGCTTGCCCCATAAAATCTTTTTTGGGCTGGCTTGGATAGGGGAGGTCAAGCTGGTGAGTTATTAGATGGACCGAATAGGGCTATGGGGTAGAGACTTTTTATATATAATTTCATTTAAAAATAATAAATATTTTTATATTTATTTTCACAAAAAAATAATAATAAATAATTTTATTTATAAATTAGGGAGAAACTGCGTTACAATAGAATGAGCACATTCTAACTAGATTGGCTGGGCATGCGAGTTATTGAGTTGGGTTTTAACCGGTTTTTTGCGAGCGGATTATTGAGTCGGGTAATGGGTTTGGGGTAGACTTAAGCACTCTCTTGAAAGATATTGGGTTCGGGTCTAAGCGGACCAACTATCAAATCTATCGAGTTTCAAGCCTATTTTTTTTTAACTGAGTAATTAGGACCCGTGTGTAATCTGACCCACGAACACCCCTAAATGCAACCACTTATGGGTGAGACTTTGAAAGTGAGTTGTTACCACTTGGATACTCCCTTTTTTATTTTATTTTATTTTATTTTTGGGGAGGGGGAGGGGGAGGGGAAAGGGGAAAGGGGAAAAGGGAGAAGGTTTAAACCTTTAATCTTAAGAAGGCAAAGCCTTTATCAGATAAAAAATATCATTGGACCAGAGACCCAGTGATCCACTCGGTTTCTCCCTCACCTAACTTTTTAATTTAAGGGTAATTTGAAAATCGATGCAAAAATTTAGACTTATTTAAGCTAAACTATATCAAGAAAACTTATTTGGCCCTACATGCCTTTTTTTGAAAAAAGATTAAAGGAAATTTATTACTCCATTACTCTCTCTCCCTCTCCTTCTCTCTCTCCATTGCCCTCATACTCTCTCTTCCCTATTTTCTCTCTATCTATTTCTCTCTCTATTTCTCTAATATTGATAATTTAATTTTTTTTAAATATATAAGATTTGATTTAATTTTTTCATCTCTCTCACTCCCTCTCCACTTATTTCTTTATTCTCTCCCTTTTTCTCTCTCCTTATATCAACGTTACAACAACACAGTTACACTAATCCGTTACACCAATTAATTACAATTACCCTATAATACACAAAATATTTACTCATGTATTCTAATAAACTAAATAGTTACATTAAACAATTATATCAAATTGCAACACTAACCCAAATTTGTTATTCAATTATTTACATAAATCAAAGAGTTACACCATTTAATATCACGAGATGGATATAACAAATTAGGTTTATTATTACACAAAAGACTTTACTATTATACTAAATTTGGTATATATAATTGGTGTAACGATGTCACGATATTAAATAGTGCAACTATTTAGTTTATGTAAACAATTGAATGAGAAATTGAACTAGTGTTATAAATTTGTATAATTGTTTGATGTAACTGTTTGGTTTATTAGAACACATGAGTAACTATTTGGTATATTATAAGACAATTGTAACTGATTGATGTAATTGATTAGTGTAATTATATTGCTGTAATATTGATATAAGAGAAAACATGGAGAGAGAGAGAGAGAAACGGTTAGAGAAAATAGGGGAGAAAAAGAGAGTAAAAAAATAGGGGAGAAAGATAAAAAAATAAATCAAATCATTACATATTTGAAAAGAAAATGAATTATCAATGATAAATATAGAGAGAAAATAGGGGAGAGATAGGGAGAGAGATATGTAGAGAAAATATGGGAGATATAATAAGAGAGTCTAATGAAATCTTTACATATTTGATTAGATATCTAACTGTCAATCAAGAATGTATAATTTAAGGGAGGATATTTATGTAAAACAGTTTTGATTTCATTTGAATTTTATACTTAAACACAATATGTTTTATTAAAATTGTACTTAATAGAATAAACAACTTATTCATACACTTTTTTTTCAAATAAGTCTAAAAAATTATACCAACAACCAAAAAACCTTTAATTTAATCACATATATAGTATTCTAACAGAAATAATACTTAGACCTAATTTGAGAACCTAATTAATTAAAGCTATTGGATTTAAAGTGAATTTCATCTAACTTTGAAACTCACAAATAATCCCATAACATCATTAAATTAGACCCGTAATTAGATCCCCAAATTGGACCACCGTAGTATTGCTTGTAGTTTAAACAAGTACATATACAAAGTCTATCAATTATATAATAAGTTGCATAAGAGTATTCAATGTGTTTTTACTTTTTGTGACAAAATCATTATTTTCATAAAAAAAAAAAGAAGAAAAATTGATAAAAGCTTTATAAAAGGTATATTAATTGACCAGAGTCACGAAGTTATAATGGAGAAAAGTTTAATCAAAGTTCTTATGTGTTCAATCTAAATCAGAGTTTCTAATTTATACCTGAAAAATGAAAAGGGTGATGGAGTAGACAAAGGTTAGGTGAATGCCCTCCTTGACACCATTGAAGTTTTTAATTTTTTCTTAGTTCTAAATTACAATTAAATTCAGAAAAGGGCTTCACAGATTTTACCTTAGAGAGAAACCTATCTGGTTGGCCAATCTTGTAGAGGACACCAATAACAGCTATCTTGTCTTTCACATTGGGGTCAGAGCTTAGATGAACCATGTGTAGTTCCATGTCATACCTGTTAAAGAACATTACAGATGAAGTTCCTGAATCACAACGAGAGAGAGAGAGAGAGAGAGAGACCTTCTGCCATTGATGGTGTGCTCTGAAGGAGAGTGCCAATGGGCTTGCTGGAGAACGTACTCAGTGCCATTGATCTGAATCGATCCAGCACCATCAACCCATTGAAGCTGCACACATGATAAATCGCATGTACCGATGAATAATGTGACTAGAGGTTAATCCTTTTACAATGAATCGAACAGTTAGCCATTTCAATGACCTAAAACAAATCACCAAGCATACATAATTATAATTGAAGGTTGCAGTATCAGTTATCAATCTCGGATGATACTGAGACGACAACATTGGGTGTGGCATCCCAAAATTAGCATATGATCGAAGGTATATGCTAAGTGATCTCTGAGTTAACTAAGGCCAAGTGAGACTCCTGATTTACTTGAAATATAAAACTGTAATGGAAAACTTACAGATATGTCATGACCTCTGTTCTTGACAGTAGCATTGCTAGGCTTGTAGTTCCTCTTGAATTGTCCTGGCTTTCGCATTATCTCCACCCTCTGACTCGCCATATCTATCGGAGACTGCATTTTCCCATTCTTACAGGCCTCCCATTCTCTCTTGAGCTCTCCCCATCGTCTAGGACCCTTCTGGCTTCCGTCGCTGTAATCAAATTCTCTCTCATCCTCTGCATGATCAAACAGTTCACAATACCATCACTATGGATCAAAAAAAGTTGAGAAAACAAGAACATTTGATGTTTTCTTTGCTTACCAACTTCTTGAGCTGTGATTGATGTTGGATGCAAGAAAAGAAGCAAAGACAGCAGAGACCCCAAAATGAAAATGGAATTACTATTATTCTTCATGTTTCGCAGCTTTGATTCTGTTGAAGAAAACAATGGCAGGTGAGGTATTGAGATTGTTAGAGATGCTGATTAGATCAGAGGGCTCTCTTATGAGTATTTATTATTTCATACCACTTATATAATATATAACTTATATGGCTGTGTGTGTATGCGGTGACGATGTGGGCAATTTCCTGCAACCTTCTTGGATGCAATATTTGATGTATGAACATAAGACTGGAATATGAGAGAGAGACAGGGAGAGAGGACCAGCTAGAAGCCCAAAAGATCATCATTATAAAAAGTGTTGTAAGAAAACGAGTAGACGCGCAATTACACAGTTCTTATCAAATTTTTTTTATAAATAAAAGCATAGCAACAATAATTTTTGATAATTTGGGCAAATTGGTCATTTTCATGGAATTAATAGCGGGCAGAGAAAATTTTAAGGGAGAACACCATGCATCTCAAATAATTCCTATTAATTTAGAATACAATTTGAGATATCTAGTATTTATTTTAAAATGATTTTGAGATAAATGTTGAGCAAAAAAAAAAAGAAATATAAGAAGATTTTGTTTTTTGAAATCCAGTGAGGTCAATTAAAAATTCAATAAAATAAAAATATGAAAATTCATCCAAAAAAGTTTGTATCAATCACATTAAATCATAACTTTGTATATTGTATTTACGACTTGACTTAGTTAGATCATAATTTTTTATGTGATAGGTCAAAAAAAAAAAGAAAAATTGTATCAGATCTTCTAAGGTTTGTCACTTAATCACTTAGATCTTTTGAAATTTAAAATATTACACACAAACCCCTAAATTTGTACTCGCTTAACTCATAGACCTATGTTATCAAAATTTGTTAATATATTCGCTAATAAATTATACTAGACTCCCTGAAATTTGTAAGCGTGTAACACTTGAATTCCTTAAGTTTAAAATATGATACTTAAACAAAAAAAAACTACTATTAAAGATCTAATATCAATATTTTAAGTTTTACAACTAAATTTTATACTCTATTATGTCATTTATTAAAATAAAATTAAAATTAAAATTTTAATTTATTCATAAAAAATCGTAATTAGTATCTTTGATGACAAAATTTGGACGACCTCCACATCAGTTTGTTGGGCTTCGATCATCTAAAAAAGAAGTCAGAGACCAGAAGGAAGCATCGGAGGTTGACTCTCCGATGTCTAAGTCAGTAAGTGACTTAAAGGTATGAGCTGTGCATAGTAATCAGTATAAATATATCAAATAACTCAATTCAACATTCATTTTCATACAATTATACAGTCTATTAGATTAAAACTAAAAATCTAAATAAGGGATCAAATTGTAATAGACACAATATCTTTTATTTTTAATTGGGATAATTTTGTCGTTTCATAAATTTCATTAGTTTCGTAACTAATAAGGGGTCCAGGTGTTAAATGATTACAAACTTTAGAATGTCTAATTATGATTTATTAAATGATATACTAACATACGTCGACAATAGGGTCTAAGTGTTATGCACGTACAAATTTTAAGAGTCTATATGTAATATTTTAAATATGAAAGAATTTAAGTAATTAAGTGATAAATTTTAAAGAGTCTGAATATAATTTTTCTTAAAAAGAAAAACCCTTCAAAGGATCCAAGAAAAGTTAATTTGAGACAAAATTGGGAGTCAAAAATATAATTTTAAACAAAAATGGAAGGCTCTTGGAGATGACGGACGCGGTGAGGCCTCGTAGTTTACAATTTCAGAGAGCCTGTTTTTTTGACTCGGAAATGTCAAGTGTCATGGTATAATTTTATGTTCCGTACATACTAGTATGGACAAAAGGGTGCGTAATTGATGACTAAATCGGATGGACCATACACTAATCTATCATTATTAATCCCCCTAATATATTACACATCGTCACGACTCACGAGAATTGGCCCACGACACGCACTCTTGAGAATTGACAAACAAACTAAAATTGCATGTGTTGTCGTAATATTATAAGTTGTGGTATCAATTGATTGTCCATTCAAAAGATGTATTGGTTGTGATCGACTTACAAGAGATAGGCCACCGATACACACACTCTTGAGAATTGACAAACGGACTAAAATTGTCAGTGTTATCATAATTTAGAATTGTGGTATTAATTGATTGTTGATTCGAAAGACATTGACATACATTAACACGTATTCAACTTATGCATTATTTTTTGGCTGAATTCAACGGGCATTCCATCTTCTTCCTTGCTCATTCTCTTTTTCTTCTCTTGGTCTTTTTCTTTTCTTTGGGTCCAAGTTTCCACTGCTTTTTTCTCTTCTGTGTGTTTTTTTTTTCCAATTCCTTTTTGACAGCAATAAGGCACGAGGAATTGTTTGGAGATGTTGACTAGGAAAAGGAAAAGGAAAAAGATTGAACCTCCACGTTCTTTCATATTTGCTGGAAAAGGTAGGTAAACATCAAAGAAACAGCTCGACACCCACCAACCAAAGAAATATCTCAAACTTTTTGAAGAGAAAATCTATATAATAAAAGACGAAGCTCCTCAACAAAACACAATTAATTCTCCATATAATTGAACTTAGTTGTCAATGAGTGGATTACACATAGGAAGCTCCAATTAGTCAAGTGCCAATGGGGCCTTCTTCTTCATTTTTTTCCAATTTTTACCTTAATTTGTCCAGTCCTGCTTGATCCCCGCACTTGGTTCTCCTGGTGCTAATGAGACTTCCAATGTAAACAAATGGGGCATGTTTGGTTAGAATATATTGATGGACTGGTTTGGACTATCCTACCCAAAAATTATAACTCACACGGATTGGGATGGTTTTTGTGCGGGATGATATTTGCACAATAAATGGGATGATAGATATTTCTTTTGATGAACTCGAATCGGCTTAGAGAGTCGTTTCAGTGAAACCTCTCCCGCGTGTCCCACAGTGAACAACTATGGAGCTGCAAGCAGGGTTTTAAGGAAGAAAAGTAAAAAGCGGTGGCGAAAGCCTCTTTTGTAAACACTATGTTCACAGGTAAGCTCTCAAACGGAATTCTATCACTCAAGAAAGAAGGGTTAGAACGGTGCCAAAGTATTCTCCAACATGACCCCTCTGACGCTTAAATCAATATTTGAGGAATGGTTTGAGACCACTGTTCTCTTGCTTGGGCAAGGGGTTGCATACCTTAGCTTTCAACTTTAGGGTATTATTTATAAATTTTGGGAGATGATCGAGGCGAACAACTGGGTCACTTTGGAGGGAAAACACCAAGTTGATTCGTACAGAGGACAGGATTTTGGTGCACAGACCTCAATCAGTGCACTTGTTTTTCTTTGCACCTGAAGTTTCTACAGATTTGCACTCGAGTCCTTAAGAACTTAATGCACACTTCTTGGCTCCGCCGAGCAATGAATATATCTTACGCTTCTGTAGAATCATTTAATGTGCCTCGGGAATTGCTATGCATGCGCAAGGGCATTTTTGCTAATCCCTTTTTAAGGGGTTAATAATTAATTGTCCCATACACCGTATGCTTCTATCATTGGTCGTTGAACTATCTTTCTAATCATTCTAATTGACTTGGAGAAGGGGACCAATCACTGATAGTCAACTATGCTCCCAAGCCATAATGCTCAGAAGTTACTTTACCTCGATCATGGGTATACTCTTCTCAGTTGATCTTTTCATTTTTTTTTCTTGAAATCGAAGCTCATCCTTTGGCTGGGACTGGCGTCAGGACAACTGTTCATCGCATGCCGATGTGATGTTGAGATGCCGAGGTTGGGTGGACAGTGACACAGAGAAAAAACATGCTGAAGTGAAAACTTCTTAGCACTGAGGTAGTCTTGGGTCACCGAGGTAAGCCGACCACTCCGAGACAATATGCCGAGGTAAACCAAAAACTTCGAGAGTACTCGTCGCTCGTCCACTTGATTATCTAAACGTTTCCATCATTTTTTTAATACATTTGGATTTCAATCTCTCTTTGGCAAGCATAAGAGGGAGAGAGAGTTGTTGGTCCCAATTTAACCCCCTTTCAACTTGAGATCTGGTCCGTTCCTAATTAATGGAACTGGATCGATCACATGTGACCAAATTACCATTCAATCCCTAGACAATCCGTAGGCGTTCGTGTCTAGGCCCGCTCCAAGCTAATCTTACACCATTGGACTCACTATACATGCGGGTTATGTAATTATTAGAGAATAAGAATTGAAGCCATGAATTTCTTGTCCTACTCCCTTCCGCAGGTCCCAGGTTCACGTGGATCAAAATCAATAGAAAAAATTTCATTCACAAGTTAGGTTATATATATATATTTATTATTTTTTTTATTTTGGAATTTTATTGACACCCTTTATTAGTTATTGGCTGCTTATGACATTAACGGCAAACATTGTTTTATTGAAATACCCTTATTATTTTATAAGGTAAATTTCATCTATGTCCCTTGTAAATAGGCTTAACTACAATGAGATCCCTTCCTGATTCTAAAATTTCGTTGCACTCCATTTTAGTTATATTATATAAACTTTCAGATTCATCAATTTAATATTTTATTTTTTCTAAGTTAATGTCATTTATTTAATTTAAATTAAACTAACATTCGATCTCATCAAATCAACATAAAATTGATTTAATTTAATCAAATTAATATTATTTTTTTAATTTAGTACTAAATTATTATTTAATTTCATCAAATTAACATTCAATTTTATCAAATAAAAATTTAATTATATTAAATAGAATATTGAATTACATTTATTTGACATTTAACCTCATCAAATTAATGCCATTTTCTTATTTTTATACCAAATTAATATTCAATTTCATCAAAGTAACATTCAAATTTATTCAATTAACATTAAATTTTATTAAATTAATATTTAGTTTTTTTCAAATTAACATCCAATTAATATTTAAATTTAGACCAAATTTATTCAATTAACATTAAATTTTATCAAAGAAAATTTAAATTTGATATGTAAAAGGTGGTCGGGTGACGTTGTAAAAGAGAGACG